CATCCCACAAGATTTCACAACATGTTCCGCATGACACAAGAAGTTTTTACAGATCTTTTAGCAGAACTAGTGGGCTCTCATGGCCTCCATGGGTCTATGAGAATGACTGACCGTGAGGTGTTGGCGATTACTCTTTATATATTATCACAGAACGAGTCAATGCGCGGTGCGATGGAACGATTCCAGCACTCATCAGAGACGATTAGCAGGTACTTCTCAGTGGGTTTGAGTGCTTTGGTGAGCCTCGCAAAACAAGTCATAAAGCCACTAGATCCAACGTTTTCACGAACGCCTGCAGAGATTCGTCAAGATCGACGCTACATGCCATTCTTTAAGGTACTGATTTAATCTTGTGTTAATAAAGTATAGAATGAATGTAGTACATTAATTAGTTAATTACTAGAGCTACATGTTTAGGATTGCATCGGTGCGATAGATGGAACACATGTTGATGCACGTGTTTCAAATGAAGAGAAAGTTGCATTTATCGGACGTAGTGGATCCACAACACAAAATGTCATGACAGTTTGCGACTTTAATATGTGTTTCACATTTATCATGCCTGGTTGGGAGGGTAGTGCCCATGATAGTAGGATTTTCAAGAGTGCAACACGGAATCCTCATTATAGCTTTCCCCATCCTCCTCAAGGTATGTTGTGCCGCGAAATATTTTTTGTATTTTTTTAAAATGTGGAACTCAAGGTTCAACATCTTACAGTAAATTTTTATTTGGTGGATGCCGGTTATCCGTTGCAGCGAGGGTATCTCAAACCATATTCTGATACGAGATATCATATACCTGATTTTGAACAAGCAAGTAAAGTTACAAGAAACAGAAAGGTGTTCAATAAAAGACATTCTTCTTTGCGAGGCGTCATTGAGCGGACATTTGGTGTCTGGAAGAAGAAATGGGTGATCTTACGTGATATGTCTCCTTACCCGTTTCCAAAACAGGTTCAGATTGTGATAGCAACGATGACAATACACAATTATATTAGGCGACACCCGTCGCGACATGACGTTGATTTCCTCAATGCTGAAGCAAATCAACGGGAACCAGTTGAAGACCCCTCTGACAACCAAATGAGTAGTTCTATGTTACGAGATGACA